CACGTGTAACAGTTCCTTGGGAAGACAGACGCCATCACTCCAGATGTCCCCCCTTCCTCCTTCTTCCTCCCACCTTATATACTGAGCATGATGTCATATGGTATGGAATATCCCTTTGGTCAGGTTGGATCACCTGTCCCAGCTGTGTCTCCTCCCAATCTCCCATGCACCCCCAACTTCCTTGCCAGTGTGGCAGTATGGAACACAGTAAAGACCTTGGCTCTGTGCAAGCTCTGCTCAGCAATGACAAAAACATCTGCATTACCAATTCTGTGTTCTGCACAAAACCCAAACATAGCCCCATACTAGCCCCTGTGAAGAAAGTTAACTCTACTTCAGCTCAAACCAGCACATTTGCCATGTATCTGCCTTGAAGATCTTAAAATTAAAACTCTCACTTCTTTCCTTCACGTTTTTACGCAGACCTTGAAAGTATTTAGTTGTCTAGTTAGTCTGATGAGGAAACTTAAAAACAAGAGATTCTGCTTTTCAGAAAAAGTATAGCATCACATTTATCCAGCTTCTTGAAGAGGGCAAGCTCTAGGCTTTACAGGCATGAAATCATAGAATGGTTTGGGTTGGAAGGAACCTTTAAAGATCAATTAGTCCAGCCACCCTGCCATGGGCAGGGACACCTTCCACTGAAATGGGTTGCTTAAAGCCCTATCCAGGCATTCACAGCTTCTCTGGGCAACTTGTTCCAGTGTCTCTTTCAGTTTAAATACATTACCCCTGTTCTGTCACTACAGGTCCCCATAACAAAGTTTCCATCCATCTTTCTTAAAAGCCCCCTTGAAGAACTGAAAGGTTGCAATCGGGTCTTCCCAGAGCCTTCTCCAAGCTGAAGAACCCCAACCCTCAGCCTTTCCTTGAGTAGAGTGCTTCCATCACTTGGATTGTTTTTGTGTCCCTCCTCTGAACCCACTCCACGAGGTCCATGTCTTTCTCATGCTGATGATGCCAGAGCTGGATGCACTATTCTATGTGGGGTCTTAGAGGGGCAGAGTAGAGGGACAGAATTACTTCCCTTAGCCTTCTGAGCACACTTCTTTTTATACAGCACAGGATGCAGGTGGCTTTCTGGGCTGTGAACGCATATTGCTGAGTCACTTCCAATTTTCAGTCACCCAGTACCCCCAAGTCCTTCTCTTCAGGGCTGCTCTCAATCGCTTTTTAGCCCAGGCTGTACTCATGTCTGGGATTACAGGTGCAGGACTTTGCACTTGGCCTTGCTGAACTTCATGAGGCGTATGTGGGTCCACTTCACAAGCCTGTCTGGGTCTCTCTGCAGCCTTCTGACTGCAGTATTCTCTTTTACATGCTGTTCAGCTTTCATTTTCTGTTTAAAAATATTTCAGAATCTTTAATCAGCCTTGTCCTGTTGCCTTGAATTTTAATTGCACTCTGGTATTTCTTTGTTCAGAGACAAGATAAGGGATTTACAAACTAGAATATTGTTTCTGGATTCGGCTTTCTCTTATTTTTCCACAGATTTACATTAAATTTTGTCCAGAACTTCCTAAGAGAGAGAACAGCAAGACTGGCTGACTTTCATTTTGCTACAGCAGCTAAAGCAAAGACTTGTACTACTCTTTAAAACATGCTGCATCACTTTATTTTTGCTCAGTATTCTGGAAGGATAACAGTTGAAGTTACAGGCTTAGTGGGCTGTTTGGTTTTTTGAAGTTTAAAACCTGAAAACTAGTTTTACTAAGTTTCCTGCAGTTTTGTAACAGTGCATGGTTAAATATGCTTGTAAATATTATGGCTGTACAGGGATAGATTTAATAGCTGAATGTTTGTGGGGTTTGGGTTTGTTGGTTTGGTTTTTTTTCGTAAGAGGCCCACAGTTGATTATTTTGTGCATACTATAAAACTCATCAGGGTGTACTATTGCGTATATATTGACATGGCCCTCATCAATTTTGGTAGAACCATGATTGGCAGGTTCTTAATGAGAATGCTGTACATTGAAATAAGTTTTTCGATACTTGGACTCTTAAATCACATTGAAGTTTAAATATAGGACATGCCATAAGCAAAATATGATCACATCACTTAAGGAAAAATACAAAAACCGTGATCCCTCTAAAACCATAGTTTCTATATTTTTTCTACTACCTATTAATAGAAAAGAGCAAAAAAGAAAACGTATTTTGGTTATGAAAGCTACAATGGTCTTGTGATTCTTTTCTGCATTTTTGCCTCTATGTAGGCTTTTTCTGAAATCTACAAATCTACAGTATTGCACTATTAGAGGGGACTTAATAGTAGCAATCATTGTGATAATTAAAAACTTAAAATTAGAAAATTATGAAATTGGGAAAAGTGTTTAAAACCCAAACCCCCAATTACAATAGCTATTATTTGTTTGTAAAGTGCTTTTGTAGCATTTCATTCAGATCTTGATTTGTGAAGTTCTGTTGCCTGAAAGCATGCCTCTTTCTTGGTCTTACAGGGAAATTAAAGGAACTTAATGGCAGTGCAGCTGAAGAGCATAAGCTTACGGAGGATGACTTGATAATCCTAGAAAAGTTATTGTCTGCAACATGCAACGCCTCTACAGAAACACCTACAGCACAGCAACTTCAGACTTTATGGAGAGCAGTTAACTGGCCAGAAGGTAGACACTTGAAATTATTTTCTGTACTGTCATCTCATCAATACTTTGCCATAAATAAAAGTTCTTGATAGGCTGGCTGTTAAACATAGTCTGTCCCAAAGACTTGATAGCCCAAGTAGAAAACAGAAGGTGATAAACAGCTGCTAACAGCATTGATCAGCAGCAGGGACAAAATTGGTAACTGGTTGCCAGCTTTTGTTGCTGTCACAGTAGTAAACTTGAAGGAGAAACCTGGTATGAAAACCAGTTGTGGTTCCTTTGTTAGCAGGGTTATCCTCAAAAAAAGTGAGGCTTGTATGGAAATAGAGTAAGGAAGTGTGGCCTTAGAATCCTAAGTTGTTATCAAATGAGAGATGAAATTAGGGAGATAAATTATGGGGAAGAAAGTCAAAAGAAGCTCCTGTTTAATACGGTAGAAAAGAAGAGAGTCTGTGGTGAGAACTGCATTAGTGAAATGACATTCTGAATGAATGCAAGTGGAGGTGATACAATTTCATTTAATACTATATTGTCAGCAGTCATGGATTGGAAAGGCTATTTTAGTTATTATGGCACATTCTGGAAAAAATGGATACATTGCATATACAGGTATCTAAATATGTACTTAAAATGAACTGTAGTTAAAGGTGTATTAATAGCAAGAACATTTTAGTATGAAAAATTCATGATCATTATATGACATCACTTAAACTATGTTTTGCATAGCTGGGAGCTGGTGATGGCTAATGGTGTCTTACCATCCAGACTCTGTACTGTATCAATAATTCTAAAGATTCTGCATAACTGCAGGAAAAACCTCAATAAGTAGCTAGGAGGTTCCGCTTTGATTTGATTATTAGCATGAGATACCAATAGTAGATCCAAGGAGCCAGATAAAATTGAAATTTGGGAAAGGGGGGACATTGCTGAACAAACTTTCAGTTCAGTTTCCTTAGAATGATTTCCAGCTCATCAGTTCAGGACATATTTTCTTTGAAAATTATGTCACAGTTGAAAGCAATCTAAATTATTTTATGTCTTTTTTTTTCTGTAAGCACTTGTGTAGCTATGCTATACTATAAGATACAGAATGAGGACAGAGGGAGATGCTGTCTGTGCAGGGGCTTTCAGAGATGTTTTGGGGTTACTTATATATTGTGCTTGCCTTCAGTGTTAACAACTAGAGTTTCTAGAAAAGATTTTTACAGTTTTGTGCAAAGCACTGTGTTTATCCTAAATTAAGGATTATGGGTTTTTTAATAATAATTGAAGTGTTAGTAGAATTTGTCAATATTTGTCCTTACGAATTTCAAACAGCTTGTGCTTTTACCTGAATCTCTTTTTGCATTAAACTGTTACTGTCTGTTCCCAAAGGCTAAGAAGGTTTGTATCTGAAAGAAACACACTGGCACATTTGCACATAATGCAATATTAATACTAAATTTGTTTTGTTTTGTTTTGTTTCTTAGATATTGTCTTTCCAGCCCTAGACATTCTTAGATTGTCTGTCAGGCATCCCACTGTGAATGAAAACTTCTGCAGTGAAAAGGAGCATGTACAATTTATCATCCTACTTCTTAAATTTCTGAACCCTAAAGGAAAGCAAGCAAACCAGCTATTGGCACTTAGAGCTCTTTGCAATTGTTTTGTCAGCCATGCAGGCCAGAAGCTCATGATGGAACAGAGGGATGAAATAATGACACAAGCAATAGAAATGAAATCAGGCAATAATAAGAACATCCACATCGCACTGGCAACACTGACATTGAACTATGCTGTATGTTTACATAAAGTCAACAATGTTGAGGGCAAAGCTCAATGTTTATCAGTAATCAGCACAGTTATGGAAGTTGTTCAAGATCTTGAAGCCATTTTTAGACTGCTTGTGGCTCTTGGGACGCTAATCAGTGATGATACAAATGCTATGCAATTAGCTAAGTCTCTTGGAGTTGACTCTCAAGTGAAAAAGTATGCCTCTGTATCAGAACCAGCTAAAGTAAAAGAATGCTGTAGGTTTGTTCTTAATCTGCTATAACTTTTTCTTGGGAGACACAGTTTATGACAATATACTTGAGAAAATACTGTTGATTAATTACTTGCTTCATTGCAAGATACAGAGCAAATAAAAATTTTTTAACCATTTGTCATTTGACTGCTTTTCTGAAGAGTATAGTGCACAGGATCTTTGCAAGGAGTTCTGACATTGCTTAGGTCAAAATAGATCACCAAGAAGTCAAACCTATCTCAGTACTTAAAAGGTCATGTAGATGGAAAGGTAGGAAATGGCTGTGGTCCACTGACAGTCAACTCTGACACCTACCCCAACCACATTTCTATGTTTCAGCATGATGAGTTAATTTCTTGACTGTGCTTTTTGTTAGCCCTGAGAACTATTAAGTTCAATAGTGCATTTTACAAGCTTTATTAGTTAACATTGGCTAATACTAACCCTTATCAAATAATCTGGTAAGGAATGTTTTCATCAGCTTTTCTCCACTTTCTTTTGAAACTTAGCAGTTTGTGGTTCTTACTGCTTTTAACCTAGAACTAGGTGACTTTTTGAGGGGCAGCATCTCTAACTGCCATATTAATGTTATGCTTCACTCAGGTTTGTATCTTGCAGCTCTTAAAATGGCACGAACATTTACAGAAGGTTTTATCTGACTTTTTGAGGACAGGAATACTCCAGCAGTTGATAGCAATTGTCTTACTCTATATGAAGTCTGTTGTAAAATACTAGGTAATTTTTAAAATGTTATCTTGAACACTGGGGAAGAAATTTAGGTGCAGAGAACGGATTGAGCAGCAAAAGCTCGGAAGAGGCTTCCTAGAGGTCGCTGGTGCCCCCTGCCGTCAGTTTGTAGGAGGCATTTGGACAACGCCCTTATCAAGAGGCTCTACTTTGTGGTCAGGCAGTTGGACTAGATCATTACAGGTCCCTTACAAAAGAAATATTCCATTCTAAACTGTACAAATGTATAGTCAAGTTTTATGAAGTAGATTTGACTTCATAACAGTGGAGACTGTGAAAAAGGAGAATAGAATCAACCAGGTTGGAAGAGATCTGAAAGATCATCGAGTCCAGCCCTACCGTCATTACTAGACCATGGCACTAAGTGCCACATCCAGTCTCATCTTGAAAACCTCCAGGGATGGTGCGGTGAACCCACCACCTCCCTGGGTGGCCCATTCCAATGCTTGACTACTCTCT